TTCATAAAAATAAATTTATCTATGATTCTGCGCGACGGGCAGATAAGGTGTAGTCACATTTTTGATAATCTACAATTTTTTTATTAGATAAAAATACAACGTCCTGAAGCGGTAAGAACCATTTTTTTTTAAATTTATTCACTTATAACGCAGGCTTCAAAACTGTTATGCATTCTGATATCCAAGCAGTATGACAAGTGCCAACATTGACTACCCACTCGAAAAGCGAGTAACCAAAAAATAATTTTATGACTAGTGTTGTTAGTCTATATTTGAATGCATGTTGTTTCAAAATAAATAATTCTCTGATTCCCTTTCAAGCGAGAGACGAACGAACCAACTTTGCAAATCAGCACGAATTTGGTGAGCCTGAAGACCTGTACTATATTATTTGCATTGTATTTCTAAAGTTTAAAAATACATAGAAATAATACAATGCCTTACTTTTCAAGACGCCTTACCATTTAAGAACTAGGACAGCTTGGGAGTTCTTTGGAATTTTCGCTGTATCATCCACCAATGAATCGAATCATTGATTAATACAATCAATCTAGTAATAGTCTTGTGTCATTTTGATAGAAACAACTGACTCGTGATACTTGTGCGGCCATGTTTCAACTAGATTGCGTTATGGCCAGTTCCGCAGCCCATAAACAACATATGAATTTATACATAGAAGCAGCAAATCTCCTTCAGAATTTTTTTTTAGCAATATGTTATATCAGGGTGGTCCAAATTGCGGCCCGCGGGCCGCATGCGGCCCGCAGATCAATTTTAGCGTGCACCAAACCATTGGCAGATATTTGTATTTATTGGCAGAAAATTTTCTTTTTAAACGTTTTCAATTGGGAATAGCCCTTTTCCTTATCTCGATGTCGGGATCAATGTTTGTTGAAATCACGGAATATAAATGTTGTATGAACGTCAAGACGGCGCCAATATGGGAATGACGACCTGTGATCGGTACCAGGAAATTGAATTGTCTTGTGCAGACAGGACCAAGCCGATGAGATGAGTTGCGCTTTTTATCTAAACTTCGAACCTTAAGCTCGCGTCAAGTAACTCATCTTTTGGAGAGACGTCTTGTGCCTTTATTTTAGTAAAAACACCCCTCTATTTTCAAGCGTCGGCTATGTTGACAGCAGTGACGAACCGCGGAGCTGACTCAGCGCCGTGCGATCCAGTTCTTTTTTCAGCTGGGTCCGGAATCACAACTTAGAGGGACTTGCTTGTTCTTCGACAATAGCACCGGTCCTGCTCACGCTACAAGTAATAAAATTAGCCAAATATAACAATTCATCATAAAATCAGTGTAAAAAAGGTGAAAAAAAGAAAACGCATTTTCTTGCCAATAACAAAGTTAAACCACAGTGTATGGTGTGTTTTTCCAAGTAATATCTGTCACGAAAGAATATAATTTTAAGACATTACAAAACCAAATATGATAAAATATACCGAAAACACCACGTTGTTTCTCGGCAAGCAATTTAAAAATTACTAAAGGCTTTATATAAACATTTTCAAAAGATTTTGCGGCCCGCCAATCTCGCAATCTTGGACCACCCTGTGTTATATTATTGTCGTTATTGGCAAACTTAAGTAATATCTACTTTTTCGTGAATTTTAGAAAACTCCTCTTCTGTCTAGCGATGTTACACCGACAATAGTAAGTAATTTTGAAGCAAAATTCGAAAAACACTATACTTTATAGTTTATAACAATGATTAGTCTGTTCAACAAAACTGCTTAACTTAATAAACATCCAGTATACGAGTTTTGGAATTGCTTTTGTTTATAATACCGAGAAGAAAAAAACATTGAATATTGACTGGTAAACGTTGTATGTGGCTAATGTGAAAAAAAATCGCGACATTTCTGTAATCATATACATAGAATCTCGTGTATATATAATGATTGATAAATAACATTTTGTGATAAAGTAGATGATTTTTGCTTCATATTTTTGCCAGTCTAGATTACCAAGCATGTTCTTTATTCTGTTCTTTTGTCAGACAAATATTGAATATCTTCTTCGATAATTCCTTCTAATGCATATGTGTGTTACTAAAGTTATTTACATCTGTAATCCCTATAGTATTTAAGCATCTGGACCTATTATTTTTATAGAGCACTTCAAAGTCGAAAAAGGGGATTACTGTGAGTTTATTGGAATTTTTATTCTGAGATCCGTTTGTATAAGTTTAGATAATCCTGATTTATTTAGAACTTGAATACAATAAGTTAGACTGTTGGTAGCGGTTGATAAATATGATTTAAACTATATGTTCCTTCTATAACAGAAAATTTAGAAGCGTGACATTTCCAAGAAAGTAAAATAAGTTACTGTTTAAAATATAAAATTACAACGAAATTCATTAATTTGAGATTCCAATTCGTTTGAAATACTAAGACTAAAATTATTTATTATAGGTAGGGAGTGACATATTGACTCCGTCGAGTGATGCCACCGATGCTACCAGAGTAAGTAATTTATCGACATGTGGTAGGGTGTGTGACAATGGGCTGTATTCTGTATATATATATATATGAACCCTGTGAATATATATTTAGTTTTCCCTGTGTTTAAAATGAATATATCTGCAACATTTTCCAAAACCAATTATTTTTAAGAAGACAAAAAAGGCCAGAATCGATATTCTAAAATAATATTGGTAAGCATCATGGATAACTTTGAAACTATAATCCTCTCCAAATGTCTTATTGTCAACTTTTTTCAGCGTTTAACAGAACTAGTACATGATTTTAGATAAGATAATGAATCATTCAATTTTTTAAGGGCGGAAGCGTCGGAACTGGACTTCTGCAAAAAATAGTAAGTATTATTATTATGAATGCAAATTCATGGAACGATACCAATAGAGCTTGAATCAGTGGTAAAATAGAACTGAAGATCGTAAAATTATGGAGAAAAATACTAATTTTTTGTTCGTTGTTATTAGTAGTAACTAAATATTTGTACATTACAGAAAGACAGTCCGGTTTTGAACACCGCACAAGTAAGTAATAACTGTTGTTGACTTCAATAATTCAGTCATTTATGCCTGTAATTGACGCCAATCAAAAATACTCACTTCAAAGAGCGCAAATTTCTAGTACGAAACCACATTATTATACGGAAAAATACCAGTTTTACATATATATAGGCCAATATGGTTTCCAAAAATATGAATTCTTTTCCAACGTAAATTATTTTGTGATTACAAATTAAATGAAGGTATTGCTTTTCACTTCGGCTAAGGATAAATAGATAGTTATTATATAACAAAGCGAATTCTACCGTTATATATAAAATATGTATCATTTTCCAATAAGAATTCATTACAAAATTTTTATCTCAGAATGTCGCAGATATAATACGTTCTAACGACAAGGTAAGTGGAATTGTGATCTGAATTAATGTTTTAGCGGTATGAATCCATATTCAACGGTTATGTCAATACACTGGTTTACTTCAATGGAATTCCCCAGATTAAAACAATAATCAAAGAAAAGTCTGGTTGAAAAATGGTTGGCATGAGTTGCTCGTAAGATTGCTTGTCTTGTAACCAATGCGTTAGATCCATAGATAGCATATATATATCGTCACGCTAATAACCGAATTGCGTAAGTCATTTTTAGCAGTTTTGAGAAAAACGTAAAAAACTTCCTAATGATATTGTTATGCCATTGGGAGTCAATAATTTACCCTGGTCAATTTTTTGATCGTAGCCGGATTTAAGTTAATTTGTATGACGCAGCTAAGTGACGTCATAATGGCACACTGTGACTTAGGCAGAAATGTGTCTATGACTTGGGGACATACGCAATTTTGCAACTTTACTATATGCACCAGTCCTGAAAACTAAACATTCCAAAAACGAATGTAATTCTCATTATCTACAATGTCTAATCCCCAAAATAGCTAATCAGTTTCAGTTACATTATTTTTTATGTTTAAATATATATATTTCATCCATATAACACGTTCTGCACACCCACCGAAGTGAGACTAAGATTAAATATAAAGAATAAAACAGCAATGCACCCAATATAAAAGCCAACCAAGGTGAATTGGACTCGGACAGTAAATATCACAAGTGCACGTCTTCCTATACTGTAGTATAAATTCAAATTAATACGCACTAAGCTAGAATCCGAGATGCAAAAACTCAAAAATACATATCCGAGGTTATTTTGCCTTTGTGACGTCACAATAGTACTGCGGTAACAATGATAATTCATTATGACGAAACAATTGCACAAATGTGCATGTCATACTAAATCTCCATTTTTATGGGTTTCAGAATTCTTAAAATAAAATCTGAGGTGACAGACAGGTGCGCAGCATTACATAAATACCTATTTTATAAAAAACTCAAAATCGCCAAAAATGACTTACGCAATTCGGTTATTAGCGTGACGATATTATCTTTTGAAAGTAACAAGAAGCGTTCCATCGTATTTAAATATTAGATGACCGAATGGTTACTTTATTTTTTTACATATATAAAACGAGGACTGACACTGATAAACAAATTTTAATGCTGATATTTAGTTCGATGTGTGATTTAATGATGATTATTGATTCTGAAGTGCCAAAATGTTGCGAAATTTTGGTAATTTTGAGCTAATGCAGTTATCACACAAGACAAATTTAGCACTAAGCTACCCATTTTATTTGTTGTTTGAAAAAAAAATTCTGGTTAATATCTTTCTCCAAAGTGTTTTTGTGAGCTACCGATTACAAACTGTGTTATGTATTTATTCATAACCAAAATCTTCACTCAATAGCATTTAACTACGCGGTATTCAGTTCTGATAACTAATTTAATCGTTCTTTCGCAGCCTTTTCAGGACTAATTTTTGATCGAATGAACTAGACTAAACTTCGTCGGAAAAATACTTATCCCTCGAATTATTTTGGTCGATCCTAAATTCCCCCAAAATACCTAAAAACTGTCAAACACTCGAAATAGTCATAAAAACGGACTAATGCTTACAAATATGCTGGGAAAAATGTCTGGATTGCTTCACAAACTTCAATTTTCACCACACCGTCGATGTGCTAATTTGTCATTATTGCAGAAGAACTAAACAAGGAAGCCGTTGCTCGAGGAAACATTCAAAACATTACAAATCAAAAGAAAAGTGCATGGGAAAATATATATATTCAGACTATAGTTAACTACAATTCATCATAATAATATTCTGTCTGTATTGTGAAAAATAATATCATGTGGAAACCAAAACGTTATCATCATGTTTCTTTATTCCATTGTTCAATAAAGGCATGGTGGCAATATTCTTCTCTGTATATATATTCAATTCATGAGATTGGCGATCTACATAACTTTTAAAGTAGTTGGTAATGCTGGTTAGAAGAATATTATACTTAGAAAATAACATGTCAAGTGTATATAGACTAGTTGGCTTTAGGGGTGATATACTTGACCGGTAGAACTTGATTTATGCGTGAGCTAGATCATGCGTCACTAGTCCCAGATTGTTTGAATCGTCAGTCAGGGGTGCATGCGAAAATTGACGCATTGTAATTTTCGACTGGTCCAGGTTTTGTGATTACTATTTGCCAATCTGCTACCTAATCTTCAATAAAGAATTTTTTCAGGATAACAAATCATTTTTTTGAGTGTTCGCACTTTGTTTGCCACAACGCCATTAGGAAACAGCTACTTTTATATCTCTTTCACTGCTATTGTGAAACACGAAAGTGGCCCTCTGTTGGTTTCCCAGGATTCCCACTCACTTTCTGTCAAACTTGTGACTTAGCCAATGACTGTTAAAATCAGCAGTAGGCTATGCCTCATGTCATATTTTAGTCTGGTTTATTTTGTTGTTTGTTTAGTTTTGTCGCACCATAAATAATATAATGTTTTGATTTGTTTCTATACAGCAAAACAGACAAACCAAATATCCAAACCTTGGTACGATATTGAGCTACGCAAAATCCACAAAAACTGTATAAGAAACTAATTAATAATAAAAAGATAGATGACACAAATCACAATATATAATGAATGCAGGAATCTTCAAGCTCTACTACTCCAAAAAAGAAATCAAATCGAGGCAGTGTGAAAAACAATTAATGAACTAATTGGTGAAGATAAAAGCAATTTCTGTCCATCTGTTGAACTCGACTGCGGTAGTACACAAATTGCAAATAAATTTAATACTTTACCCAAGTGCAGGTGGCACAAAGATTGCTTGACAATATGGCACAACCAGCTAGCTATGATAAAAAAACACCTCTCATATCTTGGAAAGCAGGTATTCCCATCTATGTTATTGAGGCCAACTACATCATTGAAATCAATAGCCAACTGCATCATAGTTATGCGAACTGCCAAAGTCCAACTCAAGTTTTGGAATCTATTGTACTCCATTCAAAATATTGCAGTAATATGTTCCAGAAGATATCATTGATATCAAGGCATATATACTCAACCACTCACTATCTAGTGGATTATTCATTAAAATCTTCAAAACTAAGCTCTATCACTATGGAATGAGAGGTGTCCCATTCAATTGGATCAGGACCTTCAAGACAGGAAGCAAATTGTGCAATATGACAACTCATTGTCTACAAATATTTGTGTCATGAAGCACGGAGTTCCACAAGGATCTTTACTTGGCCCATTATTTTTTCTAGCTTACATTAATGACATGTCCAGGTGTCTGAAATCCTCTGAGTCGATCATGTTTGCTGATGACACTGACTTGATTCTTCACGGGAAAAACCTTGAAGATCTATTCACAGTTGCAAACCAAGAACTAACCAACATTCATAGCTGGATGTTAGTTAATAAATTATCTCTTAATGCTAACAAAACTAAATTTGTATTATTCCATCCAAGCAAGCATAAAAGTGTGAGTTGTTCAAAAAAACTACTGCTCAATGGCAATGAAATTGAAAGAGGGAAAGAAATAAAATTTCTAGGAGTTATCTTTGTTGAAAATCTGTCATGGAAATCACAAATAATGCATGTTATTGGTAAAACTAAAAGAAACCTAGCAGTTTCTGCCAAAGTATCCAAGTGTGTTGATCAATCAGCTCTACTAGCAATGTTTCAATCATTACTACTTAGCCATATTCGATATTGTTGTTCAGTCTGGCTTCATGGTAATAAAACACTTGTCTCAAAACTGCAGAGTATTTGTAATAATTTTTTAAGAATAGTTTTTGGTAAAAGAAAACGTGAAAGTGTAGACCCTTACTTCAAATCACTAAATATATTTAAGGTTGAAGATATGATGAAATTTGAAATATTATCCCTAGCTTACAATTTCTTTAATAATGCGCTGCCCAATTGCTTTAACGACATACTTGTCAAAAATACCTCCAACCGAAGAAGTAGTTCTGATTTATTCGTACCTTTCATGAGTAAATCTGTAAGTCAGCATTCCTTGTCTTTTACTGGACCCAAACTTTGGAATTCTCTTCCCCTAAATTTGAAGACGTTAAAGTCCAAAAAATCTTTTCAAAAACAAGTCAAGTCTCAATTAGTTTGCAAATATTAAAATTACTACTGGCAGTATTCAATGACAAAAACTTGGGACACTCCACTACACCCTTGCACATTATTGTTTTAATGAAAATGTTGAACAGCTATAATAATATGGTTATATCTTGCCATGACTTGGCCAGACCTAGTCCAGCACCAAAAAATGGTATTGTGACATGCATGAGTATATATTTTTGGACACGTAGTGGACATAACGATCGTTTCAATATTATGTTGTTGTTGTTGTTCTTGTTCTTATTCTTGTTCTTTGACACGTTTTTAAAAAGTCGCTTTTCTCTTTGATTACTGGACTAATTGCTTTGAAATTTTCAGTGGTTGAAGATGAAATTTTTCTCCAGAAGGCTATTACTTTTATTTATTTCAAATATTTCTGTTAGCTCTGTAAGATTTGTTTTTGTTTGCTATGACGTCACTAAACGTTCCGCGGATATCGGACGCCATTTTGTGTCCAACGGATCATCTTGCAATTTCAATTCACGCTGTCACAAGACAGGACCTTATAAAGATAGAGAAGTTCTGGTACCGTAACACAGCGCGGTGACACTGAACTAACTCGTAGCTGTCAAAAGCTTGAAAATCCATACAAATATAAGAGATAAAAAGATGAAACTTGGCAGGTGGGTAGAGTTGTGTTTCTTTTAACCATATTTGAAGGTTTGGCGTTTCTACATTTGAAGGAGGGGGAATAGGGGGTGTGCATTTCCGATACGTCGATAATATCTTTGTCAACCAATTTGCGACCACCGTGTTTTCGTCTGTTTGATTGCTGTGATGTGGTGCTTTGTTTATAATTTAACGAGTTTTGTTCGAAATAACCGTGTTCTTGAAATATATGACGGTCAGAAATGCAATTAGAAGCCTAATGTTTTCACGCTGTCACAAGACAGGAACTTCTAAAGATAGAGTAGTTCTGGTACCGTAACACAGCGCGGTGACACTGAACTAACTCGTAGCTGTCAAAAGCTTGAAAATCCATACAAATATAAGAGATAAAAAGATGAAACTTGGCAGGTGGGTAGAGTTGTGTTAACCATCTTTGATAGTTACTTCTCTCCCCCGGGATAAATATGTAAATCCTATCCTAATACGCCGATAATATCTTTGTCAACCAATTTGCGACCACCGTGTTTTGTCTGTTTGATTGCTGTATGGCTGCGTATGCGATAATCTCGACGCAGCAGAAACGATGATCAAGGCTTGAAATCCGTGGTCGCACACTGGTCGTTCGGTCGCAAATACGTCTTTCGAGTGCCGTACTTTGGGGATTTGTATAGCTTTAACCCTTTGTCGTAGAAAGTTAATACGAGGTTTAGCGTGTAGAATAAATGCCGCCAATGCACCCACGGTGAAAAAATTAACGGGTTAGATATATTGGTTTTTGTTTTATAGCGGTTTGAATGAAATTGTCCGCAGACTGGCTACACCACCCTAGGCCTGGTGAGTTGTCCGTGTAGTCGAATTGTCCATCAGCCCTAAACGGCTATGACAGTCACTGTACCAAAAATTGTACCCCGATTCGGGTGGTGTTAAGTTGACGCATGTTATTTAGTAACGTTTTTATGTGAAATGTTTGACTGCGGTTCGGTACCTGATCCGATAATACGGTACATAATTGACTCATATCACGAGATATTTCAACTGATGTTTCAATTGTCACAGGACCTAAAATATCTATGACAGTCCCTGTACCGTCACGGTACCCCGATACAGGTACTGGTAAGTCACCACCGGTATGTTAGTCGTTGGTCACCGCATATGATTTTTGGGGAATTGTTCTGCGTGTCCATATATTTGAGCATTGCTCTCTTGTTCTTTATCGCAAGCCAGCTGATGATATCCTAATTCCCTGCAAAATAACAGACAATCATAATGGACTTTATGACGTAACATGCCCACTTGTCAGTGAAGGTGACTTCGAACTGAAAGCAAAACTGAGGTTTTCTAGCGAACTTTTATATTTATTTATGTTAAATCATCAAACTAAAATGGGAGTTAATATATACGTGACCAGCGAATATACGAATTCAAGCTCCCCAGCCGAGCATTCAAGATGCGCGGTAGGATTTGATGAGCCTGTGTGAGTACTCTTTATTATATTTAAATCTGGACTACAGGATAGGATGAAAATTTTTCTCGGGCGAAGAGAACAATTCAATCAGATGGTGAACTACGGCCTCTCGTCCATTGTAAGTTCATGCCAGGCATATGAATAAGAGTTTATAACAGTTTCATATGCATGGACTTGATGGTGGAGGAGCCCAGAACCCGCTCGCACATAATTATCGACGTACGACGACAAGCTTATTACTACAAGTGCTCGGAACGATGTCAATCACAGACCACATATAGGCCAAACGGTAATCAGCTTTCTAATAAAGGTTCAGCATCAGCCCTCGGCCTAACTCGAAAATAGAGAAATGCCAAAAGCGGCACATGTCATTAGAAATATGCGGCCCAATCATATCTCAATGCTTCGCATCAACGGCGTACTAAAGTTACTCCATGCTGTTATCGGTAATGAGTCCACAATTAAAGAAACAAGGAATAATAGCATCGGTATTTGCAATGAGATTGTTCTGACCTGTCATTTATTAACGATTCGCACCGTTGGCTTACTGAAGTCAGCAATAGCCTACTTTTGTACCGGTACCGACTTCCCGCGAATCACTTCCAGCTCGCTCGAGATATAATGACATTACTTGAGATAAAAAGTTGAAAATATATGATTTCCCTTTTTTCGTAAAAAAAATTATTATCAAATTCCGCCTTTTTGTGATATAATTTTCCGTACCGGTACTGTATCGATATCCCACTATCGGCCTGCAATCTAACTCGAGATATTAGAAAGCGGGAAATAGCCACAGCGACATATACGGTAACACACCCAATATTGCCTCAGTGGCGGCGTACTTATTTAATTTTGCCAGACCCTATTTTTATGCCGATACTGTCCCGACTTCCCCACCGATATTAATCAATGGGTCTAAATTTTAAACCAGAGGGGGCCAAGGTTTTCGGACCGGGGGCCAAAAATTTTGCCCATCTAGACTGGCGGGCCATCCATGTAGAATGTAGATGTAAAACTCAACTTGATCGCAATCCCAACAAATTTCATGCGATATTTTTTGATAAAACAGCAAAATTAGTTTTTTTTTATCAAGATAGCATACTAAAGATTCAAAATTAGCTAAATCCTATTTCGGTACCATTAGACTCGTGTTTTTCAACCGGGTTGCCGCGGCACACCGGTGTGCCGTAAAATAATGTCAGGGGTGCCGTGGGAAATTCTCCAAATTGTGTGTCTATGCGGTGTAGCGCAGAATGTGGCAGCAGTAGGTGTCGATTTGCCTTTTTTTCCTTGTTTTATTTGATTACTATTCAAGATGTCCAATCCAACATCTTTCTTCAAAGTTAAAAAGCTTATATTAACAATATAACACTAAAATAAATTGTGAATATTAGGTCTTTTCCCCACATTTTAAGCTGGGGTGTGCCGCGGGATTTTCTCAGTAAAAAGTGTGCTTGGCTCGAAAAAGGTGAAAACACTGCGAATTGAACTACGACAAGAGGCTTCCTTAATCCTTACTATTCTAAATCGAAGAACTTGAGCGATTGCGACAATCCTTACCAACTGGCAGCCCAATGAGCTCTCTATCGACAAGGCTATTCAAAGAATGACTGTTGCCATATATTCATGCCAATGATTGGTTGACGAAAGAAATATATTTATTGTCCTCGGTGACCTGCAAACGTCTTACATACTGACCAACACGATTCAATGTTTAAATATTCACTGCACTGTATTTCTATAAAAATCTGTACTATTGTTCTTTTTTAACATTGTTTTGTGGAAATAAATCTCTCTCTCTCCATTTTGCCACAAATGACGCAAAACTAAACTATTGAAACTTGTTGGACACGTAGTGGACATAGCGATCGTTTCAATATTATGTTGTTATTGTTATTTGTCTCCGTCATTTTTAAAAAATCGCTCTTCTCTTCGAATACTGGACCAATTGCTTTAAAATTTTCAGTGGTTAAAGATAAAAATTTTCTCCAGAAGGCTATTACTTTTTTTTTCGTTATGACGTCATTAAAAAATATTACCATTGGGTGGCGCTACGTGTCCATATATTTGAGCATAGCTCTCTTGTTTTAAATATATAGGTAGCTGTCATACCCGGATAATATTATCTTTAAATAACTGCACACATTCTATCACTTCACGCTCGTGTTTTTACCTTTTTCTAGCTGTGATGTCCTTATCATACATGCATGGTCTTATGTTTGAGTGGTGGTGTAAGGGTTGTAGATGTATAATATAGTTCCTGCAAGGTTACTAATTATTGCAACAAGGCGAGTAGTAGAGCTATGTTGGATTCTCCCCTTCAGATTTTAATTTGCGGTGGGTCATTTTAATTGGATGTGGTTTTTATATCATTTATGTATGCATGCATTTTATGTTAAGGCATGGTATTGGTGTGTAGCGTACCGGCAATGTATGAAATAATTATCCAGGTTCAGAATATCTTCTAATATGATCTGTAATCAGTAATCAGTAATAATTTATTTCTTCACCAAGCTGAAAGTACGAATTTTACATACACAAATAAAGAAAAATATAAAAGACCGCATTCCAGGGTGAAAGGAGACGCCGAAAACCAATTCTGGTTATCGAGCGGCGGCACCCTCGGGGAAGTCTAACAAAAACGTGATAAATATAATTAAATCGAACAAAATATATTACTTGATAAATAAATAAAGAAACGCAATCGATGCGTCAAGGCGACCCGGTAAAAACCAAGCAATCGCCGTTTAAAAATAAGAAAATCGACTCCATGCACCACAGTCTAGGTAACCATGGAAATTATTAAGTGAACCAAACAGACTTGCAGTGTGGTCATGGCAGGTAAATAGTTCGGCTACGGTAAAGTGCAACACAAGTCGATTGTGTGCATATAAGTGTCCAGATTGAAATAAAACTGGATGTTAAGAGTACACAAATTGTAAAAGTATAGAATACCGTACCAATCAAGTATGCAAATAACAAAATATTGACACTTTGAGGCAGAAACAAGCTAGTAGTGTAAAAGCTAAAATGTTGACCTGGACTAACAAGTGTTTTGATGCTGGAGTCAAAGATTCACATACGGGAATTGTATAGACATGAGGAAAATATACATCGAAATATTCAGCAGTATTAATACAACACAATGAAGTGAGTATCATACCATAGAAGTAGACTAGGAAAATTTAAAAAAAAATTAAGTTAATCAAAAGGATAAAAACAATTGACCTGGATCACTGTTACCGAAGCATTATAAATAGTAAAAACAAATACAACATTAGGCTTGACTGCCCATAATGAAAGTAATCAGAAGGATGCCAATTAAGTTTGGATCCCAGTTGAGGCATGTAAAATGGCATGGTAACAATAAGTGTATTTATGGGCATTGGACTGTAGGCATGAATTTGTCATTGGCAGTTAACAGAATAGATATCAAGAAATTACACACTAAATAGGAGACCAAGATCATTGAGGAGCGGGCTCAATAGTAGGGCAAAAAGCCTGCAATATTTTTTTGTTATATAATTTTAGTAATATAATTTTTGGCTTTACCTCAACCCACAATGTGTTGGTGACAGAAATACTTGTCAAGTGGCTTGTGCCCATCAGTATGGAATACACAATTAAAATTATAAGCTAAAATACAATACGAATATTTACACGAGACATTGTTTTGTTACAGGTGATTTGGATCGAGACAAATGATGAGCTGGCAATGACGAAAAGATTTGCTGGGACAACATCAACTGGATGTAGAGGCAGTGGAAAGGTAAAGGGAGCGCATGAATTTTTTGTATTTGAATTTGAAAGTGTCATAACTACAGTTACGTAAGTTTAAGGGAATATTATTCCAAGTTACCACACCTTTATATTTCAAGGAGTTTTGGGATTTGCTTAGAGAAAATCTGGGTACAAATAAATTAGACCTTGTCGAAGAGCGTGTGTTATGATCATGCACTTTACTGAGCGAAACAAAATAATCGTCGAAAGCAGCGGGCAAATGGTTGCTATGAAACTGATGCATGACCTTGGAAATCTCTAGTTGATAGATATCGGCTAATTTTAACACCCTGGTCTTATAGTATAGGGTGTTTAAGTTAGATCGAATGGGTGCTCTAGAGAGAATTCTAACTGCTCTATTTTGTAAAACTTCCAAACTGTGCAACGCTGATTGGGTGGCGGAGCCCCATGCAGTTATAGCATACTGTATATGAGACTGGAAAAGTGCGAAGTATATGGTTCGGAGAGTTGAGTCCTGGACGTAATGTCTGAGCTTACCCAGGATTCCAACTGCTCTTGACAGTCTCTTATGCAGTTCAGTAGTATGAGTGTTCCAATTTAGTTTGTCGTCGATAAGAAGCCCAAGATATTTGAAAGAGTGGACAATTTCGAGTGTGACACCCCTGATTTTAATTGAAAAGTTTTCATGTCTGGTTCGAGTTTTAGGACCAAACAACATAACTTTAGATTTTTTAACATTCACAGTAAGTTTATTGCATACCATCCAATTATACACTTTGTTAATTTCAGTGTTCACCTCGGCTTGCAGTGAGATTAGATTCTTTGCACTGTCGAGCAGACAGGCATCATCGGCGAAGAGTTTGCTCAAGAAATTTGAACAATTTGAAAGATCGTTTATGAAGATTAAAAAATTCAAAGGTCCTAATACGCTACCTTGTGGAATTCCGTAATGGATGGGTAATAACGAAGACCTGTGAGAATCTAACTCCACATATTGATAACGTCCGGACAGGTAATCATTTAATAACTTGCCTGCGACACCTCGAAAGCCAAAATATCTAAGTTTTTGAGAGAGAATAGCATGGTCGACAGTATCAAAAGCTTTTTTCAGATCTAAGAAAGTACAACAGACGAATTCCCCTTTGTCAAGTTTATCATAAATAAATGAAGTTAAGTCCAAGATAGCGTGGCTGGTCGAGTGATTGCTTTGGAATCCAAATTGACATTTATTGATCAAGTTAAATTTTTTACAAAAATTCAGCATTCGACTATGAACTAATTTTTCTAAAATGATGCCTAGGGAGGGTAAAATGGAAATTGGTCGGTAATTTGACGGGTCATTTCTTTTGCCATTTTTAAATATTGGTTTCACTCTGGCAATCTTTAACGATGAAGGAAAAATACCTAATTTAAAAGATGAGTTGAAAAAATGACACAGAGTTGGCGATATGATATCAGCGACTTGTTTTAGAAAGTAAGTTGGAATACCATCTGGGCCAACTGCTTTTCCATTTTTCAGGTTCAATATGGTTTGAAGAATCTCTGTATGTGTCGTTGGCTCCAGGAAAAAGGTGTTTTGCAGCGGAACACCCAAAAAATCGGTAGAAGGGTTAGAGCTACCAGGGATGTTATTCGCAAGTTTCTTTCCTACCGTTGAGAAGAATTCATTAAATTCACTGGCCATCATGATGGGGTCTGTCACTGTGGTACCATTTTCGAGTTTCAATTCTGAGATGGATGTATCATCTCTGGACTTAGTCTTAATGATCTCGTTAATAGTTTTCCAAGTTTGTTTGATATCTCCCCGGTTATTCTCGAGGGCATAGCGATAATGCAGTTGTTTCGATTTTCTCTGCAAGTGCATATTTTTATATTTTTTGAAGTGGAGACGCTGAAGTGTATTACCTTTCAAAAAATTTTTTTTGAACATATTATTTTTGTGAATGATGGACTTGCGAATTCCCTTAGTGATCCACGGTTTGGAGTATAATTTATTTTCTCTTCGTGATAGGGGTCTTAATGGAGCGTGTTTGTTTATTAACCATTTCATTTGACCCAGGAAATCATCAAAAGAGCTATTGAAATTTTCTCTAGTAAGAGTAACACTCATGTAATTATTACACATTAATTCAATTTCAGATCTAAAAGAGTCGTTACAAAATTTAGTCATATCTCGCTTCATTCGGATCTTTGTTTTTGTGCCAATATTCATACCCGAAATTGTACACATTACTGGAAAGTGGTCGGTGAGATCGCTAAGTAAAATAAAGGATGAAGAACAATGGTTTATGGCGTTTGTATAAATATGATCGATGAGGGTTTGGGAGGATGGCGTGACTCGAGTAGGTTTTGTGATCAATGGAAATACGAAATAGGACGTCAGCATATCTAAATAGTTGGTGGTGGATTTATCATGGGTGTTAAGTAGGTTGATATTAAGGTCACCCAGAATCACAAATTTCCTTTTCGCCATTGCCAGCCCACCAAGAACACGAGCCATTGCTCCTGTGAATGATGGGATGTTACTTTTCGGATGTTTATAAACTACACCAATTACTAGGCTCTGGTTGTTTGAGTTTTGTTTGACCTCAATCCACAAGTCTTCGCAGTTTGGAAATGCTAAGTTAAAATCTTGGATGATTTGGTAATCTAAATTTTTTCTGAGGTAAAATCCCACGCCTCCAGCTTGGGTTGGGGTGGGAACATGAATAAACGCGTACCCCGGGATATCGATATTTACAAACGTGGCTCCATGAATGATTCTGGTCTCACTCAGGGCAATTATATGAGGGAGAACATGAAAATGAGATATTAATTCGATAAGGTTGTCAGCATATCTTGGCAGTGACCTGATGTTGAAATGCACTAAAATGAGATCAGAGGGTGGAAAGCTGGATGAGACCTCGTTGATCTCATTAATTTGGAGGTGCCGACATGGTGGTAAACTAACATGGGTATGAAGAATGGTAGATTCCCAGTTTACATGGGAAGGATGAGAGGTTAAATCATATACAGGGCACATAGATTTGAAGGAGATTTAGGATAATAAGTGTGCTTTCTATCAAATGAGATTGAGTTGTAATGATCAAATGAGAAAAATTTGTCGCAAACAGTAACACGAATAATAAAATGACAAGCGGATGTGGGTATTTCTCTACAAATCTGGCCTAAGTTGTTTAAATTTTCCATAGTAGGAATAAAAGATATAGGACAATAGTTCAAATAGAAGAGACACTTATCTGATTTTTTGCAGATCATCTTCATCAGATATTGAAATGGTATTGGTATCTTTATTTTTTTTCACTAATACTCTCCCGTTCGATGTCCAGAGGAAAGCATAGCCACATCGTTTTTTGAGAATTTTAGCTTGGTAAAAGAGATTTATTTTTTTCAGTCAAATTCTCCACAATGAAGGCCTTGGACAAGTTAGTTAAGGATGATCTGTGTGAGGGGCTTCTGATTAAATGGCGATTCTTAAGGATTTTATTCCGTATCTTCCTGTTGGTAAATTTGGCTACGATAGGTTTGTGAATGTTCGAGTTGTGGGTTGGGCTGCGATAAGTGATTGAGATGTCAGATGGTTTAATATCAACATTGATCAATTTACCAACCTCAATTACAAGTTTATCTGTGTCTTCGTTCACTGATGGTGCAAGGCCATGAAACTCTAAGTTGTCGAGTCTTGACCTCCTTTCCTGTTCTTCCAGTTTTTCAGCAGTATAATCCAGGTCTTCCTCCAGGTCATAAACTAGTTCCTCAAGTTCACGTATTTTTTTACCATAGATGGTTAATTTTTCATCCATCGATTTTTGTTTTGAGGACAGCTTATCGAACATGTCCGATTGAAAACTCTGGGTTTCCTTAATTGAGGCGATGTCTTGTTTTACCTCCTTTAAAGACTGCATTTGGTCTTCTATGCATTCTTTAAGCCCAGGGCTCAGTGATGCATAATCCGAGCTGGTGTTCGCTGGGTTAAAATGATCTTCAAGACACTTGGTGATAAGAGTTGGAAGTAGCATTTCAATGTGTCTTTGAATTGTTTCCTGTAGGTTTTGTTGAAGGTTGTAGGGTCCCTCTTTTTGATGTATGATGGGACCTATTGGAGAGAGGCCAGGATCAGGAAGGCTTCTGCTCAGACGCGGCTTTGGGATAGGCTTTATGGTGTCGTAGAAGGAAGCCTTGTTTGTTTCGGTGTTCGACATATCACTGGTACGAAGATGTTGCATTGGCAGTGATGATAGTTATGTTAGTTAGACTATAGGCTATTTTTAAGTAGATTTTAAACCTTAATCAAATAGCGAATAATCTGACGTCAAGTTTTCTCTCAATAGTCCAAGTCTTTATGCTATTTTATGTCATTTATTAACAACTCGAACAGTGAACGATCCAAAACAACCAAACACTCCCCAAAGGAACGAAAAGCATAAAATAAAAATAACAGATACCAGGCAGTAAAATGCAAGAAAGACCACATACACAACAAAAACACTGACCAACCCTGAAATCCAAGACAACTCTGAATAAAAAACCAAATGACCCCTAGAATCTGGTACAATGAACTAGCTACTGCAATTTGCAAAACAGGCCGAAAGTAACTTATGACAGGCATTTAAAAAGACTATGAACAATTCTATAGGTCCACAACATTTGAACAATACTGATGAAAGCTAATTCCACGATAAAACTGAAAATACAACACTACGGTAAATGAACTGTAATGGCACTGTACTGGTAAAAACAATAACATGGTCCCTACGTCAGCCCACTGTCCAGCACAACACATCCGACAGTCACACAACACAGACAAACATCCCTGAAGACCAGAGGCATTCACACAGACATTCAAAACCCACCAACCCAACCGAAACACTCAGGCGACTGCACTCTGTCACACCAATGACATTAAACAACATGATGCGCAACTCCGGCATTTTTGGCCGAAGATCGTATTCGATAGCACGCTCCAATGCACATACTTGACGAGACGAAAACGAGCGGATGTGTGTTGCTTTCAAGGCATAGCACGAATGGTGTTCGAGCCTGCTTCGACAGTTGTGGTTTTTAATGATATTTGGAAAATTGAAGGTAAAAAGAAATCGGAAAAAAGTAAGGTAAATACTATTGTTGTATATCACACCCGGGCATCGCACTGTTAAGTACATGCGGGAAAGCCAGCTTTTGTCAAATACTACGAAGTTATTAATTCAGTACGGTACGTAGTTGCCCATTTGCCGAAATTGCATATTTACTTACCCCTTATGGTTTCAAATAGTTCATGCACCTCCATTTAGATTTTTTTAATCAGTGAGGATATATACTTATTGCTGTAACATACTATTGCTCATTCACTTTTATTTGCGTATTGAATCAAAGTGTTAACAAGTTCACCTAACATTTCACTCATACCGGTCTATATTGTATAGTCTGATCTCTCAAGTATTTGGAGCCACGAATGCTTATAATTTTCTGACTAAACCCCTTTATTAGTTGGTTTATATACCAAATTCAGTAAAACATTTTTTACAAAAAATAAGATATTGGATTTATTAGCTTTTCCATTCTGAATCATATAGACTGCTTTATTTATTCTTAACGAAAATTAATACATCTCCTCTCCTACAGATGTGAAAGTTGTGGACAGACCTGTCTAAGCATTGTGAGACTCCTGCAGCACAAGAGGCAATAGCAATAATAGTAAGTATATCAATCAAGAAATTAGGCCGACATAAAACAAAACTTTCAACTATTCGTCTAACCTCAATTTCCTATTATTTATTCACAGGACAACTGTAGCAGAAGGGGAGATATCAGAAGTCTGGCGACATATCAGTGACAGTTTGATTCCAAGAAATATGATTAGAATACTCCATAAATGTTTGCAATAGAAGAACAACCTATGGAGGAATGCAAAGACATTTGACCCTCCGGTAAAGTTGTGTATGGCCCCTACATCCTGCAGGGCTTGAGGAAATAACTAAAAATTCCAAAGCGTAAGATTGCATAAGCGGTCTTCTTTGTAAAAAGGCACAAAACATGCCAGACATACTTAAAACAGCTTTGAAAATGAGGATTACGGGTCACTGACTACACACTGTGTTATATTTGGTTCATCAAATTTTGGTAGTACTATAGAAGAAATTCAGGAAAGGGTATAATCATGATTCATGATAAAATAATGTTATATATTTTGGACAACTTCAATCTAGACCAGAGATGTCAAACTCGCGGCCCCAGAGAACTTCAAGTGCGGCCCTCGAACGCTTAACAATAATTGTAATAGTATTTTGGAATTTTTTTTTAAATGTAAAGATTTTTCAAACCTTTTGTGAAATTGAATATTCACACAGAAAACAATTTACTGAAAGTAGTTTTAGAAAGTTAATTTTTTTTGTTCACATTTTGACTTTAAGAATACACATCAAGCTAGCAAAAGAATACTGAATAAAACACTTGAGTGATTAAATTAAAGTACTTGAAGAAGGTGGCATTTTCGAAGAAAATGGGAGTTGCAATATTTCTGCATTTCACAAAATTCTGAAGCACATTGTTTAATTTGTCATATTTCCATCAGTACAATGAAAAAACACAATAAGCTCAGCAGTCAATATGACAATTCGAAGACCAACTCCGAACAGAAAATTTCCATGTGTTTGTA